GGCCAATCACATGCGAAGGCAGAGATCACACCATTATGTAAAAGAAGGAAGGGCAGCAGACATTCCTAAGACACAAAGAGACGTGAGCCGGTGTTCCAGGTTAACTGGTTTTTATCCTAGCTGGTTAGATCTTTTTACACAGTCCATTCTCCGTGCAGCAGATGTTGGATTTTTTACTGAATAGTCTTCTCTGTCTGTCAGCATCTCCTGGAGTTTGACAAGATTAATGACGTTGACCAAGAAAGGTCTCCATCTCCAGCTCATGCAAATATAGACACGTATCAATATTATCCTCAGACAACAATGAAATTATGTTAAAAAAAATTAAATCAGAAAGTCATCCACCTGTCGTCGTGCCCGTGTCTTTCTGTAACATAAATAACAGGCTGAGATTTTCCTCACAACACAACCGATGAGCTCGACTGACCGTCGGGTTTACCTGCATACATCCTGTTCACCTGTCAGCTGTTTAAAACCTGCTGATTTAGGAAACACGCCCACGTTACCTGGTGACGATCACAGCTTAATATGTGCAGCTGCTGAAGTTGTGGGAATATTCTGCACAAAATAAGCAAATGTATCTTTTTTCCTCAGAGCTGCTGGAGCTCGTGCTTCCGCTCAAACTGATTGATTGTTTCTCTTTTTCACTTTCTACTATAGACATTTCTGTTGTTTTTTTGTTTTCAAAAAACAAAACAACAACAACAGTCTGGGCAATGACGTTTTTAAGTCTCATGCTGACTGTTTTCTTCCTTTTCAACAGCAGCATTTTCTTCAGTATGTAGAAAAACTGTTAAATATGTAACTTCTTTACACTGACAGGAAGGAGAGTTTCACTAGTCGGGCCCACTTAAGTGGGCACCATATGGCCCACAGTGTAAAAGTGTATTTGATGCTCCTAAAGCAGGAGCATCAAATACTGGGAGACTATACTAGAACATTAGGAATTGGGGACATCAGGGTGACTAACGGTCTGAGGGATAAAGGGAGACAATACATACACAAGCAGATGATGAGGGGAAGTGGACATATGGAAACACAACTGAACTGAACACACTAAATGATTCAAGGGGAAGTGAAACAGAACACGATGCAAACAAGACAAGTGACTGCCAACATAAAACAGGAAATAACACAGACAGCAGACAGCTAGGGAGACGGAATACAGACAAACCAAACAGACATGTGGACACAACCAGAGAGACAGGGATCACAAAAGGGAACCCACAACCAAGGAACAAAACTACAAATGTGGTTAACAAACTCAAAAGTGTGGGGAAAACCTACAACAAGTCATAAATCCACAAAACTCACTACAGCCTGTGGACTGTGTATAACCTGTGTGCACCTGATCAGATGCCTCTGTCGATGAATTTCAGAAGCTCCAAAGGAAGAAGTATTCACTTATCTCATGAGGACTCTGCCCGTCCTCGCCTTGATCACAGCCTTCTTCTGGCTCTACTATGTAGGGAGCAAAGCTCAGCAGAACTCAAAAGGTACAATGCAACACAAAGCTCCAGTGACAGTCAGTTTGTTACGCTGCATAATGACTGGTTGATTGTCATATTTCAGCTTCTTCTGGAAATAAACCAACTTCAAGTCAAAAACAAGAGCAAGACGAGGAAGAGGAAGAAAGAGATGGAAGAGCAGTAGAAGCAGCAAATGAATGTTAGATAAAAGTGTCTGATAATGAAATTTGATTACAAATAGAAGAACTGTATTCTTTTGTTACTGATCAATTAAGAGTATGTAGTTTTATTCTTCATTCATTCAAAACAACAAATGTTGGCACAACAAAAAGTGACTGCACATGTAAATAGATTGAAAAGTGAATAATACCACAACACATGAGACTTAAAGTGGGTAGATGGTATCTGTGTGGAAGCATTGTGTCCATTGTGTCCGAGTAGTGTTATGTGACTCTTGTCAGTTGACTGTTGATTCAGTGTGAAAGGATGAAGTTTCTCCTTGGCCCTCACATCTTGAAGTAAGTAAAAAAAACCTCTTTGCTTTCAGATTTGTTCCTATTCTTTGTTTTCATGTTCAATTAAACTTCAGGTAATTCTGCCATTAAGCTACTAAAAAATTGGAATAAAAC